GCGATTGGACCACTTGATGCTTCCTCGACTCTAGGTCCGCATAGCAGCGAACTCCGTCAGTTTATTCTAAGGCCTTAGCCATTTGACGAGCGAGGCATTGGCGTTGTCTCTGACGAGCCCTCTTCATCAGAGTTGGTGAACTTCGATCGAACGATTCCTTAATTAGGGAGGAATCATCGTGAGTAGAGCTTCCGGCTTTGGGAGTCACCGGGATAATGTTGCGAGGGGAGGCCTCGGCAAAGATTGGGTGAGAGTCTTCACCTTGGGCCTTCTTTGGCATGTAAGCCTTCTTCAATGGTGAGATCCTCTTGTACTCGTGAGACAATAAAGATCTTGAAGAGAATGATGAGAGATATTCCTCAAACTTGGCTTGGTCGAACTCGTACTCGACCCTGGATTCAACCGGCATCTTGATCGGTTGCGACACGACGATCTCGGTAGGGAGACCGTTGTCTCCCACTGTGGTCATCAGTTTGTTTTCATCAAAAGTCGTTTTCATTGTGGAATCCATTAAAACTTTGGTCGATTACAATAAATTACAATGAAAATAAGAAAATTACAACTTCCCAGAAAATAACACAAAAATTGTTTATCAACTCCTGCTTTTGTGGAAACTTTGCCTGTGCTAGGGGTGCGTTAGCCTGTGGATCACCGATTCACAAGATTTCGATTAAACTATGAAGGCTTTTGAATGTTCTTTTTCATTTATCGAAATAAGAACCTTCAGTGAATATCTTATCGATGTAAGATGTTCACTCTTCTAAAGATCAAGTCTGAGCTTAGATCTCTAGGAACGACGATCTCGGTAGGGAGACCGTTGTCTCCCACTGTGGTCATCAGTTTGTTTTCATCAAAAGTCGTTTTCATTGTGGAATCCATTAAAACTTTGGTCGATTACAATAAATTACAATGAAAATAAGAAAATTACAACTTCCCAGAAAATAACACAAAAATTGTTTATCAACTCCTGCTTTTGTGGAAACTTTGCCTGTGCTAGGGGTGCGTTAGCCTGTGGATCACCGATTCACAAGATTTCGATTAAACTATGAAGGCTTTTGAATGTTCTTTTTCATTTATCGAAATAAGAACCTTCAGTGAATATCTTATCGATGTAAGATGTTCACTCTTCTAAAGATCAAGTCTGAGCTTAGATCTCTAGGAATCACCAAAAGCTTTTTTAAAGTGTTTTTGAAAGATAAAGACTCTCTCTCTTGCTCAAAATTGCCAAAAACTCAAGCCTCTATGCTCTAATTCTGCTCTCTCTGTTCCTGGTCTCGTGTATAAGAATGTATTTATAGCCTCTGGGAGTCATAACTGTTGGGAATAATGCAAAATAACTGATGTTTTAGGAATAATGCAAAATAACTGATGTTAACTTTCTCCTTTAGCGTGATAGTGGACACTGACACGGCTAAAGGAGGTAGTTTTTCAGCTTTCATAACTGTTCCCACCATCTTTAATTGCTATTATTTTAGCGGTTATGAGCGTGATTTATGCTTGTAACTGCTCCCCCACGTTTATAAGTAATCCCCAGTAGTTAATAAGCCATGTGGGCCGCATGAAACTCAAAAAACTGTCAAAATGATGTTTTTAGCTTCTCAGTGTGCGCGACAGTCGTAACTGTCACGCATTGCCGCGGCAGTTATCACTGCCGCACACTTCCGAGACAGTTTGTGCTATCTCGAGTATTTTAGCTCTAACTTCTTCGTCCGATCTCGGAATTAGGTAATCTAATATGCGTTGGAAAGCTGATGAAGAGATATATAACTTTTATCTTTTAAACTTCTTAAGATATGGATCGTATCATAGCTTATGCTATCGTACATTGTCACGGTACTTACCACTGCCGCGCACCTTCGAGACAGTTTGCGTTGTCTCGAGTATTTTGGCTCTAACTCCCGCGTCCGATATCAGAATGAGGTGATCCAAGATGCGTTGGAAAGCTAGAGAAGAGATATAAAACTTCCCATAGGCAATACACTCTCTTTGATTGTGTGTCACCTTCCACTATTGTGCCTATACGCGTCAGTGTACATTGCCACGCACCTCCGAGGTAGTTTGCGCTATCTCGGGTATTTTGGCTCTAACTCCCTCGTCCGATATCAGAATAAGGTGATTCAAGATGCATTAGAAAGCTAGCAAAGAGCTATAAAACTTACCATAGGCGATACACAATCTTTGCTTGTGCGTCACCTTTCACTGCCGCTCTTATGTGCGTTAGTGTTCACTGCCGCGCACCTCCGAGGTAGTTTGCGTTATCTCGGGTATTTTAGCTCTAACTCTCTCGTCCGATATCAAAATGAGGTGATTCAAGATGTATTAGAAAGCTAGCGAAGAGATCTACAATTTCCCATAGGCAATACACTCTCTTTGCTTACCATCACCTTCCACTATCGTGCCTATGCGCGTTAGTGTACCTTATCGTGGGTATTCATATTGTTCTTCTATGTTGTTTCACCTGTTCCTTCGCTTATTTTAGCTTTGGATGATCCCTTATGACTTAGATAATGATATTTATTATCTTCTCTTTATCTTGAGCTATATTTGGATATCTATAAGTATTTTTAGACGCATACACCAGGTTCATCGACTGGAGGCTCATTGCTTGGCTCGAGGTCCTGGTAGAGCAGAGAATCGGTAAAGTAGTTTTCAACTCACTTGAAGGGCTGTTTATCTATAACCACCATCTTCACTTGGTCACAGTCATCCACATATTTCAAGCATTGGTACAATGTGGATGGGACTATCCTGTTGCTATGGATCCATGACCGGCCCAACAGTATGTTATAGGAGGGTTCTGCGTCAATGACGTAGCAGGTCACCTCAGTTTTTATATCACTCAGTCGGCACTTGAGACGAATCTTCCCAAGAGGCTAGGTTTCGGTGGCGTTGAAGCCAAAGATTATGGTGGTCGTCGAAGACAACCGCTTTTGAGGCACCCCCAAATGCTTGATGAGCTTCAGGTGGAGAATGCTCAGTGCAGACCCTGGGTCCACCTAGATTCTGTCTACTCGAGAGGAACCAACGTATCCTGTGAAGTATAATGGTCGGTTGTGAGACATGCTTTTGATGAGCATGTCTTCTAGAATGAAAGTGATGCATGGGATTTGCTGTTTGGATGCCTGACAGCACTGTGGACATCCCATTTCTGCCTCTTCTTCGGGAGCGGGCAAGAAATGTGTGGCAAATGCTTCTGAATTGGTCAACGCCTATTATAGGGCTTCGCGGGTCATCTTGGACAGTCGCAGGAGCTCATACATGGTGATCTTGGCTAGAATATTTTTCAGCTACGCGAGTAGGTCGAACCGAAAAGGTTGACCACTTGAACTCGGCTTGTCAGGACTTGGTTGAATTGTCGGTGGTAGTTCCACTGGTAGTCTTACCGGACTCTCTACCGTCGGAGGGTAGTTCTTGGCAAAGTCCTTCCCTGTTCGAGTGATCAATGCATCTGTCTCCTCGTCAAAATCGGTGAGGGTTGATACCTCCGCTTTGTTATCGTCCGGAATTACCGAAATGACATTACAAAGCTTGGATTTGCCCTTGAACTTGTTGGAAGTCCATTGTTCGTTGTCGAGGAGATTAGGATGAACCAACATCACCTGTCCCGATGGTAAGGTCTGTGGTACCAAGCCTTTTTCTCGTTGATTTTGAGGGTTGTCATTGACAATATTCAGTTCCGCCTTGGGAATGAGTACAACTCCTGCTGGTGTATGAATGTCGGGGAGACCAGTTCCGAATTTAAGGGTGACCATGTTTGTGGTCACCGTTTTCCGCACCTTCTCCTTCTTTAGGACTCCTGCGTCGTAAAGAGCTTGCAGCTTATCCTTAAGGATATAGCATTTGGAGGTGTGGTGACTGACAAATTTGTGGTACGCACAGTAGCTTGGATCATCGGTCATGTTCACGTCTTCAGGTTTCATGGCTTCTGGCAGCTTGATCCCGTTACTCTTGAGAAGAGTGTTGAAGGTAACCACCACCTGGTCTTCCGTGAAGTCGTATTGCCTTTGCGGGCGCTGCTCGAAGGGCTTAGGCTTTTGTCTCTTTGCTGGTTTGGGGGCTGGAGTGGAATCGACAGCCATGATCTCCTTCCCTCTTGACCGAGAGTTCCTAGAGGTGTTAGGTTCCGAAGCTCTGCTCTTGGGCTGAAGCTCTTCGGCTTCCAATCTTTTGATTATGTTCTCGACTTGCTCACCTTGACGAACAAGTTCCTTTCAGGTCCGGGTTTCCACCACGCCGATCTTGGACAGAATATCGATTGAGAGGTTGTTGCGACAATAACTTTGCATCTTTATAAGTTTTTTTCTGCTCACCATAAAATACAACAATACCGCTATCCAAGCAGCCAAGGAATCTCAAAATCTTAACTCGACAATAACTTTGTATCTTTATAAGTTTTTTTTTCTGCTCACCATAAAATACAACAATACCCAACAAAATGGATCATATATTGTTTTTGATATAATTGAAAATTGATGCCATGCTCTAACTTCTACTATTTAAATACACATTATAAGTAAAGATTACTATCATTAATTAAATTTGATACACACACTAAAACACATCATCTACAAAAATAACACCGAAGAGGAACACGCCCGGCAAGTCAACATCAATTTGTACACCTTAATCAAAATAAATACCAAAAAATTACAATTTTTGAATTACACTTAAGACATTTCATGATTCTCAATTTTATTGGAGTCAACATGATCTTTGAATTGATCAAAAGACGAAATAAATTAATTTTAAAAATTATATCCTGTAATAAATTTATAATAATAGTGAGTTTTTTTTACAAAACATCCTCTACCTGGCTCAAAAAATCAGACACTTGTTTTTACCTATAATACACCACGGGTTATGTCCGACCTTTGAATTTGGGCCCTGGCCCAGGACCAGGCCCAGTACTCCCGTTGTTAAAATAAGAAGGCCCACAGAGTACAAACGCGTGTCCATTCATTATTCAGGTATCAGAAAACAGCTGTTTGCGTTTGGCACCAAACAGCAAATCCCGTCGTCTACCCCAAATCTCTCAAACCCTCGTATCCTCCCCAAATCAAAATCTCTCGAGAGTGAGAGGAGCAGTCACCGAAGACAGCGGTACGATGTTCCTGCGGCGAATCCTAACGAGCGGCGCCGGCGGTGCCCTAATGGCTAGGGTTAAGGAAACGACGGGGATCGTCGGCCTCGACGTCGTCCCCAACGCTCGAGAGGTCCTGATCTCGCTCTACACCAAAACCCTAAAAGAGATCAAGGCCGTCCCTGAGAACGAGGGATATCGGAAGGCCGTAGAGAGCTTCACGAATCATAGACTTAGGGTTTGTCAGGAGGAGGAGGACTGGGAGCAGATCGAGAAGCGGATTGCATGTGGACAGGTCGAGGAGCTGATCGAAGAGGCTCAGGATGAGCTCAAACTCATCGGAAAGATGATCGGTTTGTTTTTCTAACTTTCTGGTTTCTTGTATTTAAATTATTCATTTCGAGCTTGATTTGTGTGATTATCGACTGAAGTTGAAACTTCAAAGTGGAGATTTTGATCTCATTGGTCTAATAGCTATCAGAAACCTTTGCCTTTTTTACTTTTGGCTACTTATTGATTTGTGTGATTATAGATTGAAATTGAAAGCTTGGGGATGTCATAAAGTGGAGATTGTTCTTATTTAATTTGCTCTTTTTTTATTGCTAGGATGATGAACTTATGAACTGGGATGCATATTGGTAGCCAAGCCTTTGAATTTAAAAATGGGAATTCTAAGGTATCAAGGTTTGGTTTATGAGTGAGAGGCTCAGGATGAGCTCAAACTCATTGACAAGTTTACATCTTGAGCAGTACTCGTTTTGAGGAATCGATGGTATTGGGAATCCTTTTTTGGGAGATAGGAAACTTTGATCGGTAAGGTTGTTGGTGGAAAATTAGCTCCTGAAAGTGGAAATTTTTATAGACGATTATGGAACAAAGTGGGGATTTTACCTTATCAATCTCATAGATATTAACATACTCTTAAAAAAACTAGCTTACTGTCAAGATGGTGAATCTGTGAATTTTTATCCTTATTGGTAGCCAGTTCTTTGTGTCAGAAGTATGGATTTATTATCAAACAAGGTTTGAGATTGTGAACGAGGGTTCTTATGTGGAATAATCTTTGATCAGTATGCACATTTTGTCACTGATGAAAATTTAGTTGGGAATTAGTGTCAGGTCAAATTTTCAGGGTGAGCTCAATAACACCACAGAGATAAAACTCTCTCTATCATGGACCTTAAGCATGGGAGCCAATTTAATTTAAATGTTTAATCTCTTTAGTGTTGCTCCAGGTTTTTACTGTAATTAGACCTCTTGGTAGCTAGATGAGATTTAGACGTAGGTTGAAATATATTCAATTCAAAATTTGAAGTTGTTAGATATCGGTTCCAAGTTTTTATTTGTCACATTACACCTCTGCATTCTTTCCTTCCAATGTTCGGGC